TTGGGTAGGCAGGCTCCTTCCCTCCTTTAGGAAGGTTGGGCTGTGGCCTGCTGGGGGCATGGGGACCTCTGCCAGGGCCATTTCCCCCTCCCAGTTCACCTCTGTGCCTAAGGCTTCACTGTCTTGGCCTGCCTAATCCCACCTGGGTTCATCCCTGGGTATAGAGAGAGTGCTACGTAGTACAGCAGGCAGGACAGAGGCTGGGGAAATGGACAGGTGAAGGACCACTATACAGAGCCAAAGTGGGTATTTATGTAGTAAAAATATTTTAATCATCTCAGGATGGCACAGGAAAATAAGAACTTCTGGAAATGAGAGGCAAGGGACAAATCCAGCCACTCTACACTCCCAGCCATCCTTTGTCCTAGCGACGGTAGAGGGAACAGGCTCCTTTGTTCTCCACACTTGCTAACCCAAAGCACCAATTCTAGTCTCAAGAAAAGTCCATAAGACTAACCAAGGCAACAGGCTAAGGGCTACAGGCCAAGAACTCTTTGACTCACACGTTTTCAGATCTTTCCCAGGTTCCCCAATTTCTTCCATTGCAATGAAGTGGCAAAGTACTTAGGTGGCAAAGTACCACTTCAGAAAGCAGGTGAGGGTTTACATTTTTCCAAGTGACAACAATTCTATGTAATAACGGCATTATTATCTCCTTGTAGGCTTGCCAAGTCCCCCCGGGGGGTGGGGAAACCCCCGCCCCAGAGGCCCGTTCCCCGCTGCTGCTGGATTGGGCCCCGGGGGGAACTCCACCCCGACATGCACATCACCAGGAAGTGACGCTACCACGCCGGGCACTCTGGGGCGGGGCCACAATCATCCGAGGTTTTCCCTCAGATGGTTTTCCCTCGGATGGTCGTGGCCCCGCCCCCCAGCATGCCCAGCGTTGTCACCTCACTTCCTGGTGACGTGGATGCGGCGTGTGCACTCCGGGATCAACCCAGGAGTCCCCCGCTCCGGAACAAGGTGAGACTTGGCAACCCTATCTCCTTGTAAATGGAAAACTTATACAGTATGCAAAAAGTGAGGCCAGATCCTTTCTCCCTGATGTTAATATTTTACCTGCACAAAGATTTTATATGGGAGAGAATTAAAAATGTAACATTCCCCACCTAATGTCTGAAATAGTGCAACCCCTTCTACCACTTAAAGATGCTACCCACCTTACTCTATGTGTAGACTATGCAGGCATAGATCCTATTATACAAAATGGAGAGTACTCGCAGTTTAGGTAAGTAGACATTGGACCATTGTCTTACTAGATAGCATTTTCCCCTGGCTGATCTAGCAGCAAAAAACAAATATTAACATTCCACCAAGATGCACAGCTTCCCTCTGAAACATATATATTTTATTACAGTTATATACCACTCTTCTTCCAGTGGCCTCAAAATACCATGCTTTGGATTTCCTTCATTTTATGATAGTGCATGGATGGAGTGCCTTAATGGAAATGATTCCAAAAAGCTATTCACGTTTGTCTGTTGCAGCAAAAATAAAAAGGTGTCTTGTGGTAGCATAAAGTCTAAGATACTTGTATTCTAGTATAGCTTTTGTGGACAAGAACATACATTGTCAGAAGCGTGTGGCGGGTCATCACTAGGCAAATACTATGTTAGAGAGAGAACACAGAAGTTGTAAATAGCTGGGTTCAAAGGGCAACAAAATGTTGGAAGTAAAGGGTGAGGCATAATTATGTAAAATATCAATTATAATCTCAAAAAATACAAAGACCATTAACAATAGCACTGATGGTAATTTCTCCAGAGTTTCCTATGCTGGTTAACATCTGTCATGTTAAGTCCTTTTTTTTGGTTATAATTTATTTATTGGATTTTTCCACAAACAAAGAAAAACAAATAAAAAAACCCTTCCTGATAAATTTACAAATATGCAGATATCTTCACCCAACTTTGAGTAAATATCTCTACATTTAGTACTATAACACTCAAAAGTAGGCCTTGTTCGTTAAGTTACACCAAGGTTTGACTCTTTCAGCCAGATATAAAAACTAGACCAATACTTTTCATAATTCTCTATACTTTTTTCTTAAATAATACAGGTTAGTTTCTCCATTTCTGCTATATCAAACAGTTTGATAATAATCTCATCTTTAGAAGGACTATTGGCCTCCTTCCATCTCCTGGCAAATACAATTCTTGCTGCTGTTAAAATTTGCATTATTAAATAAATCTCTTTTTTCTTAAATGAATCTGGTATCACATTTAACAAACAATATTGTGGGGCTAGAGGAAAATTTTTACCTATTATTTTATCCACAATTTCTTTCACTAATCATGTCATGCTAAAGTCCTAATGTGTCATAGGTGTCCTGATTATAATAAATGGAATTTGGTTGAGCTCTGCCTATAACTGATTTGTATTTTGGAGAAGTATTTTCCCTAAGGTTCTTAATATTTGAATTTAAACTAGACTTCCAGTTTATGAAGCAGCGATGGCAGACGCTCTCCCTGAGCCGTGGGAGAGCGATCCACACACCAGCGACTTGGAGGGGTGCCACCTCAAGTGACACCCCCACAGAGCCTTTGCGATAGGCTCCAGGCCAGGGGGCTTTTGAGGGGTGGCCTCTTCGATGGCATAATGCCGGAGAATTGAGGCTTCCCTCCGCCCTGACGGTCCAGCCGCTGTGTGGCCCTCGGGCACTAGCTGGTTTGACCAGGACAAGCGCCGGAGATCGAGCGGAATGGCGATTTATGAGTGAGGTCAGAGAAACTGACCGACAATGAACGTGAGTTCTGAATAAATCGGATTACTTTAAAAAGGAAATCCTCCCCAGCTGACAAAAGCGGTCACAAAGAGGGACGTCTCTTATGCGAATGAACTGTTAAGCGATACGAAGGGGGAGAGGAGAGGAAATACAACAAGTGTGTTTTGAGAGACTTACTTAATTTTCGTCATAGTGGGGCAAGTTTTTCGAGCCGTGAAGAAGCGGTAGAAACTGTAAACAAAATGGAGAAAATGGCGGCCCAGCAGAGAAAGCTGAAAACAAAACTACCGGGCAGTCAGAGCCCAAAATCGGAAG